CGGCACCATCGTTGTTTGTTTTTCGGCACCAGGCTAAGACCTTTTTATTTAAAAGTTATTTTAATTGTTAATTTGACTATTTATTGGGTTTTATATTGTGCCAAGATGTCACAATATAAGGTTGTTATTATTCACAATATAAGGTTAATTGTGTGTATCGTGTCTGTTTTGTAAGCCGCCCCGAGGCTTTTTGCGAATGGGGCGGCATAGACATGTTTTAAATACATAAATAAAGTTTTTAGCACTGTGGAATATAAGAGAAGCCGAACAATGACCCCAAACAAACCCAAGAGCAATGCACCAAGATCAAGCACAGTCTCAGACTTGGAACAGTAGAGGCTGGAAGAGGAACATGCCTGGGGAAATAGGAAGGCCGTCATCTGGCAGCAGAAAGAACACAGTGCAGGCACCCGGCAAGCCCCTCTGGAGGGAGGCTCCTTCCGCAACCGGGTGCCACAACGGAAAAGGCCCTGCTTTTAATCCCTTGGAGAAGCAGCACTGAGGATGTCTTTGGACGTTGATGTATTGCTGTTGGAAGGTGCTGTCAGCTGCCAAGATTTTTTTTTATTATTATTATTAGAACATTTCTATGCCGCCCCTTGCCGAAGCCTCGGGGCGGCTTACAACACAATAAAATACAATACAAAATAACAATATAAAATTAAAATTAATAATATAAAATAAATAAAAAATATAAACGATATAAAAGAAGTTATAAAAGAAAAGTTATAAAGGTAAAGAAGAGAAGTCGCCCTGGCCAGATAAATAAGTAAATATTGTTAACAATTACAATGACGTTTAAATAAAAGGTCTTCGCCTGGCGCCGAAAAACAAATAACGACGGCGCCAGGCGGACCTCTCTGGGGAGTGCATTCCATAGATTGGGCGCCACCGCAGAGAAGGCCCTCCTCCACATACTTAACCTCCTAATATCCTTCACGGAGGGTTCCCGGAGAAGGGCCTCTCCCGCAGATCTCAAGGGGCGGGCGGGCATATATGGATGTAATATGGATTTATGGCGACCCTATGAAAGATTTATGTCTGTCTTATTAAAAGAACGTCATAAATAATACATAGATAATGGGTCTGTATTATAATGTGCCTATTTCACCTTACATGGCTAAAAAGCCACCGCTCAGTGCTTGGGATGCCTGACCCTTGAAACCAAAAGAAACTAGAACTGGAATGACAGTAAGACGTTGACGACACCGCATGAAGGGCCGTTTCGAAGGTGCTTCCCGCTGCCGAGAGTGCGAGGCCCGATCCAGGGCGCATGTGCTGCCCTTTGCCGGCTTTGCAGGAGAATGACCTGCCCTTTCATTAAGCTGGTCCCAGCTCTGGGTTGCCGCTTGCCACAGAATGGCTACACATCCGGGGAGTGCAGGAGCAACTGAGGGTATGTCTGAGTTTCCACCGCTTTGAGGCAGGCTGAAATACAACGGGTAGAGATGCGGTAAGGAGGAAGTTTCGCCAGTTGAGTGGCAGCCTGTCATGATGCTGTTAATTGTGCTGTGATCTATTGAAAAAGTTTATAGCAGGGGTAGGCAAGATGCAGTTTGGTCTTCAGCTTCCATCATTTTTCACCTTGGTGAGGTCAGCGGTCGTTGTAAAGCAAAACATCCGGAAGACCAGAAGTTGCTCACCTCTGGATTAAAGTCAGCAGGTCTGCAGCACCCAAGCTGGAGGGAAAACACTGTCATGTGCACTTTGCACATGCTCAGAAAGCCCCTTCTGCTCTCATTCTCTTTTAAAATGCTGCAGCGTGCCAGAAGGGAGAAGCCATCTGCACATGATCAGAACGCAGCGCTGGGCCTTTAAAAACAGCAGCAAGGCTGGCCCGCTTGGGGAAAAGGCACTCTGTACGTGCACAGAGGCACCGAAGCGCCAGCCTTTTTGGAAGCTGTCCATCAAGCCTAAAGGGGTCCGGCTGGCCTTCGCCCGCTGCAATCTGATTGGCCTGTCGGGCGGGGGAGTCACGTGTCCTCGAGCCGCCATTTGCCTGCGTGCTGAGCCCCGAGGTCGGTCGCTCCGGGGTGGCTCCGCTGCGAAGACGGAGCTTCTGCCAAAGAGAGTCCGTGGGAACGGGCGGAGGAAGAACGGACGGCGTTCCCGAAGCAAGTTCAGGTTGGTTGAGCAGCAGCAGCAGCAGCAGCGACACGCCGAAGGGCGGGTTCCCACGTGCCTATGCCCGCGCGCGCGTGTATGTGTGCACGTGTGAGTGGTCGCCCCCCGTCGTGTTCGGGGCGTGAGAGATGCGGCGAGGACCTGTGGCCGAACCGTCCCGGGAGCCCGGATCCTGCTGCCGTGGGAGATGAGCTTGGGGAGCATCCCGGGGTCCCAGGTTTGGCAGGGTCCCCTGCAGGGCCTTTCAGGGGGCCGCGCCCGCATCTTCCCCGGGCCTGTCCCTTGCTGGTTTCCCGGCTTGTGTGCAGGTCTCGGCCCCCTGTGCTCTAAAGGGTGAGAACAATCGGAGCGTCCCATGTGTATCCCACCTTTCTTCCTCTGGGAAGGGGCCCGAGGCAGCTTGCGAGGGTCTCCTCTCCGATTTATCCTCACAACAACAACCCTGCCAGGTAGGCCAGGCTGAGAGGCAGTGGCTGGCCGAGAGGGGACCCCGGCTTGCATCTCCGGCGTTCCAGGCGATCCCTCTAAACACTCCATCACACGTAATGCTGGAATGGCAGAGTTTGGCCCCCCTCCCTGCTTCCCCAAAATGAAATTCTCTTCTTCTTTATTTATGTATTCATTCAAACATGTATATGCCGCCTATTTTGCCCCCGCATCTCTAGGCAGCTAACAACAGGCAATTAAAATGCTTCATAAAACCATGGCATAAATTAATATAAAACCGGATAAAATTACATTAAAGACAAGGCAAGTGGAGGGCTGGGTAGCGACTAATGACTATTCAAAGGTCTTGGGGGTGGCGGGGGTCCCACGGTGGGCTGCCCCACGGCATCTCGTTATTCGTTTTTCGGCGCCAGGCCAAGACCTTTTTATTTAAACGATATTTTAATTGTTAATTGTTGTTTTTATTTATAGGTTTTAAACTATTGCCGAGATGTTCCGGATTTTTAATGTTATTCTATGTTGTCTGTTTTCTTTGTAAGCCACCCCGAGGCTTTCTGCGATGGGGGCGGCATAAAAATGCTATATCAATCAATCAATCAATCAATCAATCAATCTCGGGTGGCTCCAGGGTGGGAGATCCCACCCCCTCCCCAGGCCATGAGCTCCTCCAGTCCTGCTCTAACAGCCAGGAAGTTCTTCCGGCCGTTCAGCCCTGCCCTGCCTGATGGGGAAGCCGAGGGGGTGGCCCATGGCCCCCCCAGTGCTGCTCGGGAATGCGCAGCGCTGCTTCCTCAGGCACCTGAAAGGCTCTGCTGGCATCTAATGCCGAACATAGAAGCATAGGAGCAGAGCGAGTCAGAAGGGGTCTCCCGGGCCATCTAGTCTGACCCCTGGCTCCAGCCGGCTCTGTGGTTTCACCCCTGCGCGAGCAGTGGTTTTGTCGTGTTGGGCGCACTGTGCGGTGCTTCTGTGCTTTACCTGCAAGTGGAGCATAGTGGATGATGGTACTGGAGGCACCTGAGTACCTCTGACACTGGCTTCCCTGGGGGTGCCTCCGTCTTCCCCGCTGAGCTTTCCTGACATGCTGACCGTTCCCCCAAGCAGTGAGATCTCTCTGGGCTGTGTCCCCGGGATTTGGTTTCCTTTGTTTGTAAATGGAGCAGATTAAGATCACAGCTTTTCAATTTGCCAGTGTTGGATTGGGGCCCTGGGAGATCCGGGTTCGAGTCCCCGCTCAGCCATGGAGCCCACTGGGTGACTTTGGGCCGGTCACTGCCTCTCAGCCCAACCTACCTCGCAGGGTTGTTGTCGTGAGGATAAAATGAAGCTACGTTTGCCACATCGGATCCCTCACAAAAGGAAAAAGGCAGGATATACTTACATACATTGTAATAATAAATAAAACAAAATAATGGAAAATAATTTTATCAGAAATGATCTGGAACTAGGAATGCGTGGTGGCCAAATTGGCTGATACCAGCTTGCTTATGGTGCTTCAAACAAAAACAGATCGTGATGTGCTCCAAAAGGATCCCTATTTGAATGGTTGTATTAAAATAATAAATATACATAATTTTATTAAACGTTATTATTATTGTTGTTGTTGTTATAACATTTCTATGCCGCCCCTTGCCGAAACCTCGGGGCGGCTTACAACACAATAAAATACATTGAAATACAATAGAACATAATAAATTACCATTAAATGCAAAAATACAAAAAATACACTGACTTACAAATATAAAATTAAAATTATCAGTATAAAATAAGTAAATAAAAATATAGGAAGAGAAAGAGAAGGAAGAAGAAGTTGCCCTGGCCAGATCATATGTTTTAACAATTAAAATGATGTTTAAATAAAAAGGTCTTTACCTGGCGCCGAAAAACCAGTAACGACGGTGCCAGGCGGACCTCTTTGGGGAGTGAATTCCATAGGTTGGGTGCCACTGCAGAGAAAGCCCTCCTCCGAGTACTTACTCTCCTAATTTCTTTCATGGAGGGTTCCCGGAGAAGGGACTCTCCCGCAGATCTCAAGGGGTGGTCGGGCATATACGGACGTAAGCGCTCGTTCGGGTAGCCAGGACCCAAGCCGTTTAGGGCTTTATTTAACTAATATTAAACTAAGCCTCCAAAGACACCCGCCTCAGTTTTTTCCACTATTCTGAAAGTGGTGCTTGGCCTGCGCTGGCAAAGAGAGAATATTAAATTGCATGAAGCTGTTTCAGTGCCTGCCTGCCATCGTGTTCTTTCTTGCTCATTTGACACCCTCGTTCAGGCTGGGCCCTTGGAGGGCTCCCCGTGTGTGGAAATCCTTGCATGGGGTTTTTTCTGGACCCTTTGCCTCAGGGTTCCTCCGCGGACTTTAACTGGACTGCCTGAACTCCGAGCAACTTGATCGACAGCATCGCCTCTGCGGCGCACCTGCAGCAATGCCGGAAGGTCCATCAGTGAAAAAGTTCCAAATTCTCTGCGCTCCCTTCGTGGGGCAGACGGTGACCAAAGTGGGCGGAAGCACTCGGCAGGTGAACCCCGATGATTTGAAGATGCTGACGCTATGGGATGCTCAGGTGAGTCCTTCCGGGTTTGGCCTCCCAGATATCTTGCTTTTAGGGCGCCCATCCTCTGCTGGTTTAGCCTCAAAGCAGCGCAACTCACAGTGATGCTGGCGGGGCAGAGCTGGGAGCTGGGAGCTGCGAGGCCTTTTTGACTATATGGGCATGAGATTGTACCGTTATTTTTCCTCCTCATCTGCACTACCCTTGGTTTGATTTTTCAAGTCAGAGATGATTATCCGGGTTATTATTCAACAGCACAGCATATGACCATAATGGAAGAGAAGCGCAAACGAACAGGGCCCATTGCAAGCCAGCTCACGCTCTTCGTCATCCCCATTTTGGGATTTGAATAATCAGCTTTGTAGACAGCTGCCGCCCAGCCCTTCCGAGCTGCTCCAGGAAACATCCCTCGCTTGCTTAAATGTTGCTCTGCGTCACTCCCTTTTGAAAGAGCATCAAAATGGCTTCTGCTCTCCCGAATCTGAGGCTGGCCCGTGGGCTGAAAGGCTTGGACACTCCTGATTTGTTCAGGAGCAGAGGCTGAGACGGGAGAGGAAACGCATTAGTCCAAGGGGCTCTCTACATGAGGCTTTTAACCCACCGGTTTAGCAAGGTGTCAGCTCCGGATTCTTTGACCAAGGTCTTCACATGTGGAGTTTTTCCCTGGGGTGTTTCTTTTTGCGCTTTCTGTATGTTCCATTATACCACCACAAGGTGCCGCTGCAGTGAAGGGGCCCTGTGAAAATACACCAGCTTCTCATAGCGCGATTTCCAAGTAATACCAGCTTTTCCCCCAATCTTAAAAAAAAGTCATGGAAACAGTTGCAAAGCATAAAAGATAACAACATTGTGCAGAGAATCCACACATCGCCATGGTGAGGAATTGTGAGTATACAGCAAATGCCCCAAATCAAAGCACAGGGCCCCTTAAATGCAGGCAGAGATGGCTCACTCGCTTGGGGAAGGGGAAGGGGAAGGAGTGACCTGAAATTTTATTTTCTAGGTTCATGGGAAGAACCTGTTCCTGGCTTTTGGCACCGCTCAGGAAATAGCAGCTGGCTGTGCGAGCATGACCCAGGAATCGTCTGAACATGGGGGAACTGGTCCAGGGACCAGCGTGTCTCTCCCGAGGCAGGACGGAGATGAGGCGGATCCTGGCGGCCTGGTCCACTGGCCGCGAAAGGAGCACGGAGGCGGCTTGGCATCGCTGCCAGAGGACGCTGCTGAATGCCCCCGGGCGTGGCTGCGTTTCCACTTTGGCTTGTATGGAAGCATCCGAGCCGGCGAGTTTGCAAGGGCCAACAAAGCAAACAAAAAGGGTGACTGGAGAGATCCAATTCCCAGGTGGGAATTATGGGGTGTATGGCAGAAGAAAAAGGGTATCCGGACTTGCTAGTGAGGAGAAGTTACCAGACCTGGCCCTAAATCTGGTCTCCAGAGCCCTACACATACCTTGGCGCTAATGGGAGACCTCCCCTGCCCCCCTCCCCCCAGCTTAATTGCTCGACAGAGGGCGATTTTCAAGGGGGGTTAGTTGGGGCAGGAAAGATTACCTCTCCCATTCCCATATACTCAACACCCAGAGGGCCCCTCCCCACAGATCGCTCATCCGCTGCATACAACAGTTAAGGCTTCTGGATCGAGAGGGGTGTTACTGCCACTCTATACGACTCTGGTGCGCCCGCAACTGGAGTATTGTGCTCAGTTCTGGGCCCCTCATTACAGGAAGGATACAGCCAGGTTGGAGTCAGTGCAGCGCAGGGCCACAAGGTTGGTGGCCGGTTTGCAGGGGATGCCGTATGAGGCGAGACTGAGGGAACTGGGCCTCTTCGGCCTGGAGAAGAGACTCAGAGGGGATATGTTGGCGACATACAGGTATGTGAGGGGGTGTCACACAGAGGTGGGTAGAGACCTGTTCTCCCCTGCAGAGGAAGGCAGGATGTGCTCCAAAGGAGCCAAGCTCAGGGAGCCAAGGTTCAATTTGGATGCCAAGAAGCACTTCCTGACGGTTAGGACCCTGAGGGTGTGGAATGGGCTTCCGCGGAAGATCGTTGAGGCCCCATCGGTGCAGGTGTTCAAGGATAGGCTAGACATGCACATGGTAGGCATGTCGTGAGCGCAGCTGGCTGGGGCAGGGGTCAGACTAGATGGTCCAGGAGGCCCCTTCTGACTTGCTCTGTTTCTATGTTTCTAAGCTTGGAACAGAATTTTCTCCATTGTTTTCATTGGACTCAGTCACAATGGCACATGAATCAAAGAACTGATTTTATCTGGGATTATTTGGCTGAGAAATGAATTAGCTGACTCTGTCCCCCCACGCCTCTTAAAATAATTTGCTGTAATTCTTTCTAAATTTGCATAATAGAGATAGTAACAATAATGTACAAATTATGCTGAACAGAATGGACCAGGCGTACAAAGCTTGATATTATGCAGCTTTGTATATTCGTGTGTTAAAAAGTTCTGAGTGAAAGCTGTGATGTCTTGTTTGGTCCTAACACAGGTATTACTCCTACTCTGCCTTTCTGAATTTTGCCCCCAAAATGGGCCAACACAACTACTTTTAGAGGTTCAGAACCAGTGTTTCCCTCCAGAGTTTTTATACTTCAGTTCCCATCAATCCCAGGCAGCATGGGCAATGGTCAAGCATGCTGGAAATTGTAATCCAAAATATCCACAAGGGTAAGGCTGTTCTAAAAACTTTGTTTTTGCCTTGGGGACATCTAGGTTGGTTCTGCATTTTGATGGCGGCAGCTTTCTTGTGTTTTACAACTGCCGGATCCAGCCATGCTCTTCTCCTGCCGCTGATCCCTCTGCTGACATCCTGAGTCCAGAGTTTGATCGGGAACGGGCTATGGAGGTGCTTCGGAAGGCCGTACCTGTGTGCTACACTCTCCTGGACCAACGTTATTTCTCAGGGCTAGGTATGTGCAAGGGTTCTCTCTACTTGATGCTTCCAAGGTGGGGATTGGAAAGATGTTCAGAGCTTTGGGACAAGCAGTGCAGGAAAAATAACACCTTGATAGCACTTTGAGTGACCAGGGAGGGATTGCATTAAGATAAATGGGGCTGGAGAATTTAAGGGTGGGAGAATGCAAACAGCCTGCTGCTATTCAAGACTTGACAAATTGTCCAGAAAACCAGCATTTCCATTTTGAAATCTGTACAACAGAATGAAAGCTAAATTACTGCTGAGTAAATCAGGCATTCTTCTGAGCTGGCAGAATCTTGCCCTCTTCAGTGGTATGTAGGCAAGTTAAGTGCTACTGAATGATGCAGTCCTCCTTGCTTCTGCGCAGAAATACGGAGTTGGCCCTCCTTGCTTCTGCGCAGAAATACGGAGTTGGCCCTCCTTGCTTCTGCGCGGAAGTGCGGAGTTGGTCCTCCTTGCTTCTGACCAATCTTTAGGATAATAAACCACAGTTTGCTCACTGTTTCTGCCTTTGGCTGTCCCCACAAACAGAATGGGGCCCTCCAGACTTCTCTCAGATTGAAATTCAGCCCTGGGGCCAAAAAGGGGATCCCCAAGCCCCGAGTTACAGCATCTAAGCTCACTATGCATCTCCCCAGCCCATTGCCATGGTCCCATTCAGGAGCTGTCTCACCACAAGCGGCCTCTTCCTGGCACGTCTTGGGGTGAGCTCCACTATTATTAATTCATTATTTATTAAAACATTTTTATGCCGCCCCGTTCGCCAAAGCCTCGGGGCGGCTTACAACAATGCTGCCCCAGTGCACCTGATTTTTCTGTATTACAGTTATACCCACCTTGCTCTGTCAAGGAACCCACAGTGGCTCACATGTCCTCCTCCCCCCGCACATTTTATCCTCACAACAGCCCTGTGAGGTAGGCCAGGTGGAAAGTGTTTGAATGGCCCAGAGTCACCCCGGGAGCGTCATTTCCAAGTGGGGACTGGAACCCAGATCTCCTGAGTCCCAGTCCTACACTTTAACCAGAACACACTGGTTCTGTGTTAAAATTGGACCTTTGTTTGTTTATTTTCAAATAATTTGGCCACCTAATGAGAAGGAAGGACGCCCTGGAGAAGAGCCTGATGCTGGGAACAATAGATGGCAAAAGAAGGAGGGGACGGCAGAGGATGAGGTGGCTGAATGGGGTCACTGGGGTGGTCGGTGTGGGCTTGGGTGGACTCCAAGGGATTGTGGAGGACAGGAGAGCCTGGAGAAATGTTGTCCATGGGGTCGCGATGGGTCGGACACGACTTTGCAACCAAACAAAATTTCATTCATTTATTTATTGAGAATTTTACCAAAACAAAACAACATGAAACACAAAAGAGACAAAAGTGGGAAAAGTCTGAAATTAAGAAAACAGATGTAGAAATAACCCTGGTGTGGTTTAGAGCACAGGATGGACTCAGGCCACCCGGGTTCGAGTCCCCGCTCAGCCATGGAGCCCACTGGGTGACTTTGGGTCAGTCACAGACTGTCAGCCCAGCCTACCTCACAGGGCTGTTGTAAGGACAGACTGGAGAGAAGCAGAACCTTGTGAGCTGCTTTGGATTCCTTTCTAGAAGACATAAAAACACACTGAAGTCATGATAATACTACTAATTATCCAAAGAATAGCATACCTCCATATTTTTCAATTATACATAAACTTCAGTAAAAGTTTGCCAAATATCTGAATGAACATGTATTTATATATTACATACGTATCTCATCTTTTCTCCTAGGAGACAAAAACTGAGATTTTTTTTCCCCAGACTGAAATGCTACCATGACTTGTACAAGTCTTAATGTACTTACTTTACATTGAGCCAGTTGGTGTGCATGGTTTATTTATAGATTCATTTATTTAGAATATTTGTATGTCGGCTATTGTGCCACAGCACCTCTGGGTGGCTCCCATAAGAGAAAAACCCACAATAAAACTAACAACAATGATTAAAAGTACAATATTAATAACATACATATAAAAAAGGAAACTGAAGGTTTAGTGGCATCAACTATTAAAATGCTTTTTCAAAGGAAGGTCTTTGTCTGGTGTCGAAAAGAGCATAAAGAAGGTGCCGGGTGCGTCTCCTTGGGGAGAGCGTTCCAAATATGAGGGCAGCTGGAGAAAAGGCCCCGCTTCTCGCGGCCGTCTCTCTCACCTCCGGGAGGGACGGCTTGCACAGGAGGGCCCCCTGCGGAGATCTCAAAGGCCGGGGGGGGGGGCGCATCCGGGTGCAGGCGCTCCATGGTTCCCCCAAATACCCTGCATACCTTTTTGCGGTCACAAGAACCCTGTGACTTAGCCCGGCCGAGGGATAAAGGTGGCTGGCCCAAGATGTGCCAAAAGGTGGCTTTCCTCCAGCTTCGGCTAATTCATCAGCTGCGCCCCTATCTGGAGAATGACTGCCTTGCGACAGTGACACATGCGTTGGTGACTTCCCGTTTGGACTTCTGCAACGCGCTCTACGTGGGGCTACCCTTGAAGACGGTCCGGATACTTCAATTGGTCCAAAATAGAGCTGCCAGGCTGCTGACGGGGACTGGACGTTATGTTCACATGACTCCAGTTCTCCGTCAGCTTCACTGGCTTCCCATTGAAGTCCGGGCCCAATTCAAGGTGTTGGTTATAACCTATAAAGCCCTAAACGGCTTGGGTCCTGGTTACCTGAAGGAGCGCTTACATCCTTATATGCCCAGCCGCCCCCTGAGATCGGCGGGAGAGGCCCTTCTCCGGGAGCCCTCCATGGAAGAAGTTAGGAGGGTGGTTACTCGGAGGAGGGCTTTCTCAGCGGTGGCGCCTAAGTTATGGAATGCGCTCCCCAGAGAGGTCCGCCTGGCGCCGTTGTTATTTGTTTTTCGGCGCCAGGCGAAGACCTTTTTATTTAAGCAGTATTTTAAATGTTAATATTATTGAATTTTATTTGGCCAGGGCGGCTTGTTTTATAGTGTATGTTTTATATTATATATTTGTATTTTATTGTATATATTTTAAAATGTTATTTTAATTTTTTGTTGTAAGCCGCCCCGAGGCTTCGGCGAATGGGGCGGCATAAAAATGTTTTAATAAATAAATAAATAAGATGATCTGGGCGGTGCCATATCCGAAATGGGGCCGGAGCCCGGATCTGAGCTGAATATCCAAGATGATTACCCCATGGCCAGGCTGCTGGGGGCGATGGCCCTATAGTCCAACCAGCAGGAAGACTGCGGGGGGAACTATCGGAATGGCTCTTACTTCCTTTCAGCTCTGCTGCGGGCTCCTCCGACCCACCCTTTCCTCTCTTTCTCTTCCGTCCCCCTCTGCGCCCCAGGGAACAGAATTAAGAACGAGGCCCTTTATCTGGCGAGGGTTCACCCGCTCTCCCTCGGCTCTCTCCTGGAACCCTCGGAGCTCCGATCGGTGCTGGACCGCACCGTTCAGTTCAGCCTGGAGTGGCTGCGCAGCCAGTTACAGGGACAGAGGTTACAACTGCGGATTTACGGGAAGGAGCGATGCCCCGAAGGGCACGAGGTGAGGAAGGGAGCTTTTGGACCCCTCGGCGGGCTGAAGAGGCTGACCTGGTGGTGCCCCCAGTGCCAGTCCCAAGCCTCCAGCCGCTCTGCCCCTGGACCTGAGGACTGATTCGCTCAGCCCCTGAAAGCTACGCATCTTTGAACTGGATTATACCAGGAGGGTAGAATTGGCTTTCCTTTGGGCTGTTGCCACACGGAGGGTTGGTCTTAAGACTTGCAGGTACTTAAAATGAGTAATGAGGCTTGTCCTCATTGTGTTACGGAGTTGCACTTTGTAAGCTTCCATTGTGGGGAGTGTGGAAACTCTCAGTGCAGTGGGAGCATTTGAGAGTTGACAGATGTTCCACCCAAGATGTGGGTGGCTTGCCAGTGGTGATTTCGTCATCGTCTTAGTTTGCAAGGTCTCCACAACAGGGATATTGTGCTTGCTGTCAGTTTAAAGAGCGCACATATCTTGCTTATTTTACAATTTTTCACCCCACTTTATGTATCATTCCAAGTGTTTAGTATCAGTAGTATTAATGCTATATAAGCATCAGGGCCTGGCTTAACATCCATGCCAATTTCAAGACTCAGGGCAGAGCCCGGGGACAGGTTCCCCCTGAATTTGCAATGTGTGTTTCGGATTGGAGAGTTTTGTTTTCACACAGCTGGCGATTCTTGCACCCCACTTGAGGAAGGGCCCCGGGCGTGCATGTGGAGAGGCTGGCGCTGGGTCCCAGCTGCTGTTCGGGATCGAGGCTAAGCACGGACTGGGCCCAAGTCAACGGAAGCGGTGGGATCTTCACGGCAGCGTGGACGGTGGCAGCGTGTCTGACAGCAGCAGAGCCTCAGCTGTCAGGTGACATATACCTGTCGGATGGACGGGGGAAGTTCGAAATAATCCATGCCTGCTTGGAAGATGAGATTCTCAGCATGCACAGAGGGGGTTCCTGCCTTTTATTAAAGTTTGGTTTCTTTGCTTCCACAAAACGCTTCTTGTGCATATTTTGACAAGGACAGGTAGCGGCTGGGTGAGGTGGGGCAGGGGTGCCGGGGGTCTCTAGCCAAGAATCCACTGCACCTCCTCGCAGAGGACAATCTGCAAAACATTGGTAAGGGAAGCTTACACAGTTGTATCAAACTTGCGTAAGTATAGAGCAGAGGAACAGAAGCCGGCTTCCTTCGGTGGTTCTACAGTAGGTCCCATCTGCCCCTGCCAGAATGGGCGATGGTAAAGCAGTATGGAAAATGTCGTTCTTAGCGACTGGTGGGTACCAGATTGACTATGCCTAGTTGATGGTGTAGAGGCAACCTTTTTGTCTCCCATCGATTAAAATGCTGAACAGGATCCTGGAAAGAAGCAAACCTTTTTCTCGAGTTGGCCAAAGGAATGAGTGGGCTGTATCACACACGGCACATTGCACACCGCTCTGACTGCACAATCTTTGTTCGGAACTTGAAGATCCAGACAGCAGGAGCAGCGTCTGAGGCGCAGGGAGCAGAGGTTTTCCATCCCTGTCCCGAGATTGTAAGATGAGATAGCAAAATTTTAAGTCAATAAATTCAACGTGCTTTTCAAACAGGAAATAGGGTATTTTCCATTGTTTAGTCGCAAAGTCATGCCCGACCCATCGCGACCCCATGGACAACATTCCTCCAGGCTCTCCTGTCCTCCACCATCCCTCGGAGTCCACCCAAGCCCACTCCCACCACCCCAGTGACCCCATCCAGCCACCTCATCCTCTGCCGCCCCCTTCTTCTTTTGCCCTCAATCCTTCCCAGCATCAGGCTCTTCTCCAGGGAGTCCTTCCTTCCCATCAGGTGGCCAAAGTATTTGAGTTTCATCCTCAGTATCTGGCCTTCCAAGGAGCAGTCAGGGTTGATCTCTAGGACTGACCGGTTTGATCGCATTCCAGTCCAAGGGACTCGCAGAGTCTCCTCCAGCACCACAATTCAAGGGCCCCAATCCTTCGGCGCTCAGCCTTCCTTACGGTCCAACTCTCACAGCCATACATTGCAACTGGGGAAACCAGAGCTTTGAGTAGTAGTATGACGAGGTACAGCTATCTCAAGAATTTCGGCCAGTCACAGACTCTCAGCCCAACCTACCTCGCAAGGCTGTTGTTGTGGGGATAAGATGGAAAGCAGCAGGAGGAGAAAGATGTGAGCCACTTTGTAAGAAAAAGGTGGAACATAAATCTAATAATCGTTTGCAAGAGAGATCAGTGTGGCGGCATTGTTTGAGCTCGTTGCATTTTTTCCATCCCCAGGTCCCGAATCGGGGTGAACAAATTGCCTGGATACATTTGTTCAAAATGAGAATATTTGTATTGCCTCTAAGGTAGGAAACAGAGTTGGAGCCTCCTTAACTCCTTTGGGAGGGAATTCTGTTGTTAGGGTACTACCACCCAAAAAATCCTGTTCCACATTTCCACTGGTATAAATGTGTCAGGGTTTCTGAAGGTTGTAACATACTGGCAAGTTCATACTGAAATGGCTGCAATATTAAAATCTGCAAATCTTATTCGTAAGTGTCCCAGTAGTTAAAGCTGCCTGGGCCATTTATAGGAAAAGAACTACTTTTGAACTTTGTTGTTACATATACTGTATATTGAAATACAAAAAACCCAAGCAAGTATAAATGTTCTCCATTTATACCTTATTGCAGATGAAGCCTGTCAATTGCCCATTCTATTTTAATATCTAGGTTTCCCAGTGGTATTTTATTTATTTAAAACTTGTATAGTAGTGTATCTGGGAACTTAGATAAACTGCTTAGGAATGAATCCAGAATTCACAGTATCCAGGTTTTATTTATCTCAGGGCCCATGTTTATGAAAATTAAAAATTAGTTCACTTTATATATTTATATCTTACTTGTTGCCCCTGTATTTAAACACAAAAGCCATTTTTATGAGCAGCTTTACTTTCAGTGAATACCACCAAATAATTACAGGAGACTTGAGAAGGATTCCTGTAAACAGACTTGAAGTAGCTGAGAAAAATCTGGCATTTATATGTCTTTTTTAAAAATCAAGCAAAATAAGGGAGCCCTTGGGCTTATCCCAGGGAAGTCCGACTTTCCAGCAATAGCTTGTAACAAAGAGGTGCTCTTGTTTTTGCAGGGGGGCTTTTCTGAACCCTTTCAATTTGCAGTAGGAACGTATTGAACTGACCCATGGGTCCTTTTTTCATTGAAACAACATATTTATTTCACCCAGTGCAAATAGATTTATTTACCTATTATTTACTATTTTACATAATAAATATAATTTAAAATAATTATATTTTTAAAATAAATAATATATATAATTAATATGATAAAATAATATGATAAATATTTACCATTAAATATTCATCCCAGCTTCAAAGAACTTAGAGAGGCATGCCTTGTTCTTCTCTCTCCAACTATTCTTGCAACAACAACCCTAGAAAAAAAGCTGATAAGAGTGGCTTGCCTGCGGCATTTTGGGACTGAGAGGGGACTTGGATTCCCATGTTCCTCATTACAGAAAGGATATGGAATCGGTGCAGTGCAGGGCCACAAGGTTGGTGGTGGGTTTGCAGGGGATGCCGTATGAGGCGAGATTGAGGGAACTGGGTCTCTTCAGCCTGGAGGAGACTCCGAGGGGATCTGTTGGCAACATGCAGATATGTGAGGGGGTGTCACACGGAGGTGGGTAGAGACCTGTTCTCCCCTGCAGAGGAAGGCAGGACACGCTCCAACGGAGCAAAGCTCGGAGCCAAGGTTCAGTTTGGATGCCAGGAAGCACTTCCTGATAGTTAGGACCCTGAGGGTGTGGAATGGGCTTCCCCGGGAGGTGGTTGAGGCCCCATCGGTGCGGGTGTTCAAGGGTAGGCTGGACATCCACATGGTGGGCATGTTGTGAGCGAAGCCGGCTGGTGCCGGGAGTCAGACTAGATGGCCTGGGAGACCCCTTCTGACTCACCTTGTTTCTATGTTTCTAAGTTCCTAGAGTTATTAAATCCCAGTTTGTGGAAGCTGGTCAGTGCTGGACTGTGCATCTACTCTGGAACTTACTCCAGATTTCACAGGAGCAATCCGTGCTCCCAAACCTATTTTGGAGAAAGCATTTGGTGCCATGGATAGTGTCTTTAATGTTCAGATGAAAATCTGGAACAGATATGCCACCCCCATTCTGGTACGTGGGCAAAATGAGAACATGTTTCAAAATGAGAATTGCTCAATAAAAATAATGGAATTGAAATCTGCAGAATTTTCAGAGCCAGCATCTTTCAGAAGCAGTGCAACCTTGATGATGATGCTGTTGTAAACCTTTGCAGCCTCTTAGGTCGCCCAGCAGGTCCCACTGGTAGTTGATAAAAGTATATATCTAAATAGAAAGGGATCCTGATGCTGGCTCACTAATTAGAGCTGACAAGGATGAGTCAATGGAGAAAAGGGATTAAGTACATACCTAAATTACAGGCTGACAAAAATCTTGCATGTCGAAGCCATGTGGGTGAACAGCAATTACAAGATGGCGAAATTCTGAGATAAATATTCCAAACTGACAGAAAGAACAATTGCTCTAATGCAGATACTAAAAGGGAGCAGCCCAAATGAGTCAACTAAACCATTTTGACCAAAAAAGCAGCATTGATAGGTCTTGTAAGAGCAGACAGGAAAGAAAGCAGCAGCTTCCCCTGAAGGCTTTCCTAAAATGTCGCCTTTCAAGAAAGAGGCAAAAGAACAGAGAAGGGGCTTGGTGGGCTTCTCTGGACCAGGTATTCATAACATTGGTGCCACTGCAGAAAAGACTCCATTCAAAGACTCCGTTCGTGAACTCAGCTGCCAATTTGAGTCGGTGGCAGGACTTGGAGGGGGATGTCAGATTACCTTGGGGGTAGGATTTATTTAATATGGAGAATGGAAGCTGGTTTTGGTGCCAAGGTCAGCCCTGCTGGATTCTATGGGACAATTTGTTGTCGTTAAGCTTGTCAAGTCTTCTCCAACTTATGGGGACTCTATGAATGAGTCCCTTCCAAAATTTCCTGTCTTTTCCGAGCTCTTCTAAATTCCAGGCTGCATTTCCCTTATGGAATCAATTCATCTCTTATTTGGCTTTCACAAACTTGAACTTTAAGTACAGGAGGATAAGTACAAACCTGACAGGTGTAGCCGAAACTTGGTGGGATCACTCCCATGAGTGGAATTCAACAAATGAAGGGTATCGCCTGTTCCACAAAAACTTAAGAAACAAGGAGGGAGGGAGAGTTGTACTATATGTTAAAATTACATATTTGCACAGAAATACAGGAGGATGTGCTTAGTCGGGCCCACTGAGGGCAACAGGACGTGGCGGACGGAACAAGAGGAAGGGCTGTCCTTGACTGGATATTGACCAACAGGGAAAACCTAGTGGACAAAGTGGCAGCTATGGGAATTCTGGGGGAAATTGACCCTGCCATACTGGAATTCTTGGTTCTAAAGGGAGCAGAAGCCGAGTGCAGCCAAAGACGTCCCCTGGGGTTTCGGAAAGCCAATTTTAATAAAGTCAGAACAGAGGTAAGTGAAGTCAGATGGCAAGTGACTCCAATGAGAAAAGTCCAACATGAGTTCCTCAAGATCACGTGTAAGGATTCACTGGACACCAAGGCCAAGAGCATGCGTACTGTTACAACCCCAATCTCCATGTATGGATGTGAATGCTCTTCTGCTTTCTCTGCGGTGGCACCCCATCTGTGGAATGCGCTCCCCAGAGAGGTCCGCCTGGCGCCGTCATCATTTGTTTTTCGGCGCCAGGCCAAGACCTTTTTATTTAAACAATATTTTAACAACTTTTAATATTATTTATTGGTTTTAATTTTCACAGCCAGGGTGAATCTAGATTTTATGTGTATTATTTATATGCTTTGTTTATTTATTGTTGGAAGCTGTCCCGAGGCTCATGCAAATAGGACGACATACAAAAACTCCAAACAAGGCATACAAAAACTCCAAACAAACAAACAAATGAACAAACGCTGCACAGTGGAGAGGAAGTTGACGGGACGAAAATCCATCGAATCGAATCAAATCAGGAAGGTTATGCAAATACTCTAGGAGAGAGAAACAAATGGGCCCTAGATTGCATCAGGCCAGAGTTCTCCCTGGAAGCAGAAGTGAGAAAATAGGCTGTCCTATTTCAGACACATCATGAGAAGGCCGGGCCCCCTGGAAAAACTAGGGAAAATTGAAGGCAGAAGAAGAGGAAGACCGAATAAGAGGGACTGAATCCAGCAAGGAAGACACAGCCTGGAATTTAGAAGAGCTGAACAGGACTGTCACACACAGGACGCTTTGAAGGGCTTTCATTCATGGAGTTGCCCTAAGTGGGAGACGATTTGGCAGCTCCTAACAAGGTGTCGTTTCCTCTATGATACATTTATTCTCACAATGTGTTCAACAAATACATTCAAATAAATTGGCATCATCCGACAGATTATATTGGCATTTCTAGTTCGCTATGGTCGTTCGAAGGCATGCAAACTGTGATGCAATAGGCATCGCCTCCCCTGCGGCTTTTGCTTCGCCGCAGCCTGCAAACTGGCGCTGAACACCCGCCCCTTGTTACCTGCCTTCCCTTGACGAAGCGCAGGAGGAAAACCCCGTGCGGCCCCTTTAAGAAACCCGGCGACTGCGACGGCAGCCCGCTCTCCCCCCTTCTGCCCGCCACTGCGCGCCAGAGCCAATCCGGAGGCGCCGAATGGCCGTCACACCAGCCCTGCCACGGCCCCATTGGCTGCCGTCTTCCTGGTGCGAGGACCTCGCGGCCAGTGCGCTCCCAATCAGCCCACCGAGCCAGGTGTGCTCCCGCCTGATTGGCTGCTGCTAGGGGACGTTGTGAAGTGAGGCGAGGAGGGGACGAGAAGATGTCTCAGAAGCATCCCTGGGGTCGAGGGGAAGGAAAGGGACGGGGGAGAGAGATTCCCTGTGCGGGGTACCTGAAGAGGACTAGAAACTTTTCTAGGCAGCAGAGAGGGAACGAGAAACCTTCCAGGCAGGCTTGAAGAAGAAGAGAAACCTCCCTAGTTAAAAGGGGCCTTGAAGGGGATTAGGAATCTCTGTAGGCAGCAGGGGGCCTTGAAGAGGACTAGAAACCAAACTAGGCAGTGGGGGGCCTTGAAGAGGACTAGAAACCTCCCTAGGCAGTGGGGGGCCTTGAAGAGGACTAGAAACCTCCCTAGGCAGTGGGGGGCCTTGAAGAGGACTAGCAACCTCCCTAGGCAGTGGGGGGACTAGGAACCTCTAGGCAGAGGTAGCGAAAAGGGGCCTGCACCGGGGCAAATTAAGCCCGGAGGGGGCGGGAGCAAAAGAAGTTAAAGGGGAAGAGAGCGGACAACTGGGACAGGTGCGTGGGAAGGGCGACTGCAGAGCCCCGGAGCAGGGAGAACCGGGAGCGCCGCGCCGCCTCCCCCGCTTCCCCCTGGCCTCGCCGTGCGGCTGGGCGCCGATGGAGCTGCTCAAGAAATGGCTGGCCCACCCGGAGGAGCTGTACAACCTGGTGCGGTTCAAGATGGGCGGCTACAAGGCGGTGATGCCCAAGATGGAGCAGGTGAGCGCGGGGCGGGCGGGGGGCGCCGGGGCCCCCGGGCGGCGCGGCGCAGCCGCTCGGGTTCCGCGGATTGCCCAACTTCTCACGTTCCCCTTGCGCTGCCGGTTCGACTCGTTTAAAGGTCGTGTCAGCGCCTACAAAGGCAGAAACGCTGCATAGATAAGGCTACGTGGGCAACGAGAGGCAAGGCAGCGGTGGGAGCGCCGGAGGCAAGCGGGGTGCCTCGCATTTTCTGTCTCATCCTGCGCCCCCCCCCCCTTCTGCCTGATCGCCCTTCAGTGGAGGAAACCGGAGGCGAACCATGTTTGCAAGGTGGGGGGAGAGGAGAGAGACGGGCTGCCTGGAGGGGCCCTTTATTTCTAGCAGGTCTGATGCTTGCTCTGTCGCCTTTTCACTAGCCATGACCGGTTCTGTCTTGGCCAGGCTGGTGCAGCCCTCCGTGGTGTTGGGCTGGAACTCCCCTTATGGAGCTGTGCTGCCCGACACAGACGGGATTTGCAGGCCGACACAAACCGGATTGGGGAAGGGCGCAATGTTTATTCATGGCATTCCGATACTGGACAGTAGGCCAAGCACTCTGGCTGGTTTCTGGCTATTAGAACTATAACATGCCTTAGAAAAGTGTACAACAACTGTGTAAACCGCAGTAAAAACCAGAGGAAAGCCACACACAATGCAAAGATTTCAACCGCAAGGACAGATTTTACAATCCCAGGAACTGAATGACTAAAACACCTGGAAAAATAGAACTGTCTTCACCTGGCGCAGCCGAGGCCACAGTGTGGGTACCAGATGAACCTCTCTGGGGAGCCTCCCATTACTGGGGTCCCACCACAGAAAAGACCCTCATTTCAGTAGCCACCTACCTCATGCCCTTTGGCAGGGGCTCCTGCAGAAGGAGTGCTAAGGATGATTTTAGGATCAGGGCAGGTATATATGGTAGAAGAGGCTCTTTCAGGTGACCTGGCCACAGGCTGTTTAGGGTTCTGGATGTTAATACCAGCACTGTGAATTGGGTCTAAACCTGGACTGGAAGCCAGTGCGGAAGGAAATGCACAGACCTAGTATTGGCCCTTTGCCCAGTCCCTATTAATCTTCTTGCCTCGTTTTGGGCCAGCAGTAGATAAAAAAAATGGTTTTAAAAGCTATGTAGCATGTATTTCTAGGATGCTTTTCAGGTGCGGAAACAAGGCAATAAAATACAAAGCAATAAAATAATGCATGGTTTATAAAATAACAAAGAGCCCTGTGGTGCCTTTACGCCCAACAGGTTAATTTGGGCATCCACTTTCGTGCCCATGGCTCCAGATTGGAAGAGACTGATAGCATCTGATAAAATGAGCCACGGGCCAGAATAATTAAAGTGCGTGAGATTTTTTGTTCATTCTTGTTGCTTCAACTCATGACCTCAGCTCCCCCCCTCTGGAAATACTAGGTGGGAAACAAGGGCGGGCAGGCAAGCAATAACGAGAGTATTTTAGCTTACTGAAATCCAGCAGAATTTCATTGGATAAAGCTTCTCAGGCTGGTGTTATGGGGTGAAAAGAAGAAACAAGTGTTGCTGAGAGGTGCGGGATTCTTCCTGTCATGGCCTGTTGCCCACCTACCTAGCCAGAGGGACCAGCAGAAAAGCCCAACTCCAAAGCTCTGGAGCATCTGCAAAGTAGATTTCTCTGGGATTAGGACTTCCAGTTCTGAGGGAGGTGTTTATTTGGGCTGAAGTCCAAGGATTCAGTGTGTGCATAATCATAAGCATTTGCATTTTACAGCAACTGGAAGTTCAAACACCAAACCGGGTACATTTTTTCGGGTACATTTTGTCCCTGAGGATATGTATTTGTAAATTATTCTATGACAGTACACAAGCAATGGCATCCACTGACTATGGCTGCACAATTGTGAGAAGATAAAGTGGATTTACTGCTGGGCCAAGCAAGCCTGTTGTCCCCTGGATGGCATCCCAGATTAGAAACATAGAAACAGAGTGAGTCGAAAGGGTCCTCCTGGGCCATCTAGTCTGACCCCCGGCTCCAGCCGGCTCCACTCACGACATGCCCACCATGTGCATGTCCAGCCTATCCCTGAACATCCTCACCGATGGGGCCTGAACCACCTCCCGTGGAAGCCCATTCCATACCCTCGGGGTCCTAGCTGTGAGGAAGTGTGAGGAAGTACTTCCTGGCATCCACCCTAAATCTTGGTTCCCTGAGCTTTGCTCCATTGGAACGTGTCCTGCCCTCCACTGCAGGGGGAAAAAGGTCATGACCCACCTCTGCGTGGCACCCCACATATACCTGTATGTCACCAACAGGTCCCCTCGGCATCTCCTCCTCTCAAGGCTGAAAAGACCCAGCTCTCTCAGTCTCTTAAGTTTTATCTAGTATGCTTGTTGTTACCTGAAATCTCACCTACTGTTGGTTTTAATCTCTTGTAAACTACTCAGAGCCTGTGGGAATGGGGCAGTGTATAAAAATGAAAATAAATAACAGGGTTGTTTGGATTCCCCACCCTGAGAATGGGCAATTGCTCCAATCTCAGAGCTGGGAATTCATGCTCGGATCCTGTGCCCTGGCCGCTTGGAGAAGGAGTTTAATGGACCTTCCAAAGAGAGCAGGACCCATCCTGGTGGGGCCCCAGCCACTTTCCCCTCTGAAGTGCTGCTTTAATCCGCTGTTTTGCAAGGTGGGAGAAGGGAGTTTTGCTCGCCCACTCTTTGTGCTGTGTAGGGTACCTCCAAGGTTTGAGGGTTATGGGCACCTACTTCAGATTTTGCCTTAAGTGACTTTAATTTGCAGTCAAGGAATTAAAACAATAGAGTGCTTTGTGTGCATAGTGGAAGAAAGAGGATTCCAGACAAACCTAGTAATAAACTTGTGGTAGTGAAAGTCCATTTGTATTCTCTAATTATCATCTGTTGCTTGTCAAAACTGACAGTTCTGTTAGCCAGTTACCTTTTGAGATATCTCCATTTTATGTGAAACACCCATTGTGTAATTAGTTGATCCTTTGAAAAAAAAAGTTCCTAGAGTCATAGAATTGAGGGTGGGGCCCTCAATTTGCCCATCGGGTCCAACCCTGTGCTCAGTACAGGACTCCAAGTTCCAGCATCCTTAACAGATGCAATCTGGTAGTGTTGTATTTTACTTTTTAACCACCAGCTTGGCTGCACAGTTCCAGCAAGTTCGTCACCTAAATTGGAGCTCCGTGCTTGGTGCTCCCAGCCCTTGTTTTGGAAAAAGCAATGGGATGGAGCAATTTGGAAAAAAGCCATATATGGGGTAGGAAAGAATCCTTCTCTTCCACCACACCATGTCTCCAACTCAGAAATGTCCTCACCCATCCTAAAAGCTGCTGTTACCCTGTGCGGCCTTAAAAATGAAGGCCAGTGAGAACATATCTGCCCCGTGTGGTTATTTGCCAGGCCTCTGAGGTTTGCCCCCACTGGCTTAGATAGAATTATTCTTTCCTGCTCTGCTTTTCTGATGTGGGCATACCTAGTCCGTTTTCTAGTCCCCACTCAGCCACAAAGCTCACTTGGTGTCTTGGGCCAGCCATGGACTCCGCTTATCCTTCCTCACAGGGTGGTTGTAAAGATCAGATGGGGAAGAAATCATGCCTTTGAGAGCTTGGAGGAATAGGCAGGATATAAATGCTAGTCACCTTCCTTGCAGAAAAGAGGCAGGATATAAGTATGATCAATACAATAAAAACAATGTGCCCTGACTTCCTGGTGTGCATGGGCCCTCAGTTAAGAGTCCGGCTCTGTCCCCAGGCAGGCTCCAAAATTGGCAAGGTGCCAATTGATGCAACCCTGTAGGCAGGCCAGAGGCCTGGGAACCCACAGCATTTCAGGGTATTCTAGGAAGCTCAAAATGGTGATGGATTTCCCAGCCTGGGGGCCAGATAAACCTGTGGCTGGTGGGGAGTGGGAGGTGAAGGGTCTGTGCTGGTTGAGCACAAGGAAGTGCTTCAGCTCAGGATTCTGGGTGCGTATGCCAGCTCTGCTGAGCCCCCCTCTTCTTACCCTCCACCAGCAGCTTCTGGGGTGCACTGGAACAAGGTTTACGAGTTCCACCACCATATCGGAAGGCCTCCTTTCTCATCCCTGGAGAGACCACATCTCCCACTCCTTTTCCTTCTCTGAGAAGATGCACAGGAGTTGGGGTGCATGGGAGAAAGGGGCGATTCAGGAGAAAGGGAAATGCATTCTATGTGTTTTGGGGCCTCCGGCCTGCTTATAGCCAGAAAGTGCGTGGGTGGGAAGGGGGCTTCCATCAGTTGGCGCCTTGCCGATTGTGGAGCCGTCCTGGAGTCGGAGCCAGGCTCTTGTCTGACGGTGCTGTGAATTGCCGCCCCGCCCAAGCTGCAAGCTCCTTGGACGCCTGCTGCGGTTTAACATCTGGAACAGAGAAGCAGAGGTGCCCTTCATTCGTGGGACTGGGCCTCGGGGCGGCTGGATTTCCCCCGCACCCTCCCGCTAAGGCTCTGCGTCCCCCGCGATCCCGGGAACGCTTCCTCCGCGTGCGCAGGGCTGGGCGCCCCCGGCGGCCGCTGGAGCGGGTCTCCGCCTCGGGAGGGAGCCCCGCTGGGCGCGCGGGGGCTGGCCGGCCGGCTGGCCTGCCGGTGGCCGCCGCCTTCGGGGAGCGCTGCTCCGGGCGCGCCTGGGAAGGCGCTGCAGCGCGCTCGGCCGAAGCGAGCGCCAGGCTCGGGGGGCGGTGGCCGGCGCCGCCGGGGGCGGGCCCGGCGCGGTGACGCGGTCGCGGCCTGCTGCTGCAGGGGGCGGGGGCAGGCGTGCCTCGGCGCGCCCCGGATCC